TTTTGTGGCCATGGTGCCGAGTAACAATTTGCAGGTCTATTTCCCTCCACTTTGGTAAGGAAACTTAACAGGGAAATCTTACGAGCAGGCACCCTGGTTCAAACCTAAAACATCTCTAAGGTCTGAAGGCCATCTATAAATTGCTGTAGATTAAAGACAAGGACATGCCACACAGGTGGGCATGTTAGAAAACCACAGAAGGTGACACTGCAGTGTTCTGGTTGTGCCTGGGATGATTTTACCTTTTGCTTCAGATTAAATTTGAGATCAAATTCCTGAAACTGAATCCACACTCGAAAATGACTGAATCTCACTGATTCCTTTTGGGAGCTCAGGAGCAGAAGTAACCCCCAAAATAATGCAGCTTAAAAACATAAGCTAAAGTTTAAAGATATTTTAGACAATACTTCTTATGTTTTTGTACCAAGGGTTCTGCAGATTCATAGTTCTCTCTTCAAATACACGGACCTGGAAAAATACTGAATACGATCTTGGCATGCTTGATGTAATTCCTTGATATGCATTAGGAAATATAAACAAGCCCCAGACACTTGCATGCCAAACTTGTGTACTTTGCCTTATCTGCAGTCCCGACACAGAGATGTTAAATGCAGCATGCAGCAATACTGCAGCTAAATCAGAGCTGGTATTTACAGTGAGTGGAATGTCTTCATTTGAGAACTTACTTTTCCAGTAAGTACTACTCTGAAGTTTTGAGATGTGAGTGGAATTTTTTTTTTTTTTAATTTGCTCTGGAGCCCAGCTTTGGCAGAGAAAAGCCCTTTCTCACTGTAGGTCTGCCTTACAGGTGGTTCCACAAGTCACCAGAGCGTTAAAAGTAATGCAACCATTGAGATGGTAGTAATTTTACAGAGTGGTTATAATTTTTCCCGTTATTAAATGACCCTAAAAAAGCCCAAAGAAAACAGAAGTCATTTCCCCCGGGCCGGTATTTTACGAGCAATCTTTATTAGGTGCTGACCTACCCTGTTCAGGGGACTGTTGTCAGTTATTTGCCTGCAACAACACCCTGACACGGAGGCCAACAGGGACCCATGGGCGAGTTCAAAAAGCAGGGTACAGCCACAGCTGGGCTGGAGCAGGGAAAGCCAAACCCGGAGGTTTTTTAGGGTGGAGGGGGCGCAGTTTTTGCCTTCCCCCTTCGCCTCCGTCCCGCTGCTGGGCTTCGAAAACAGCCGGGAGGAGGAGGAGGGCTGGGAGCACAGGGAAGGGAAGGGAAGGGAAGGGAAGGGAAGGGAAGGGAAGGGAAGAGTCACCCGTGTCCCTCCGGGCCCGGTGGGCTGCGGTGCTCGGGGCAGGTCCCGCCCGCTCGGGAGGAAGGGGCCGGGCGGCGCATCCACCTGCGGGCACCTGCCCGTTCCCTCTTCCCTGTTCCCTGCTCCTGCCCCGCACCCTGGCTCCTCCCCGGCCGCTCCGCCTGCTCCCGGCTCCCTCGGCCGCCCTCCATCCCCTGCCGAGCGCTGCCGCTCCCGCAGCCCCAGGTAAGCGCTGCTCTCCCTCCCCACCTGGGGCCGGGCAGGAATCGCCATCCGAGCTGCGCCCGCTGGATTTGGCTTTTAACTAAGAAACTTCGGCCGGGCTCTGAGGGGAGGAGGATGAGGAGTGACCGCGGCGGTGCCTGGGAATCCCCATCCCGCAGGGGAGGAGGCGCTGGATGATGGAAAACAGAGAGGGAGACGCGGCTCGTTCCCCCCCTGGTACCCCGGTGCCCCCTGCCCGCAGCCGGCTCGTCCAGCGGGAGATGCAGCGGGATAAAGCTGCGCTTTCCCGTGGGCCGGAGTGTAAGGGAAACCGGGAGCCAAAGGGAGGAGGAGGAGGATGGGGAAGCCGAGATAATCGGGATAACCGGGAGCTAAAGGTGCACGGAGGCGGTGGATGGGGAAGTTGGGATAGCCAGGATAATCGGGAGCTAAAGGTGCACGGAGGCGGTGGATGGGGAAGCCAGGATAGCCAGGATAACCGGGATAATCGGGAGCTAAAGGTGCACGGAGGAGGAGGATGAGGAAGCCGGGATAACCGGGAGTCAGACGCGCACGAAGGAAGGGAGGGGATGGGCGCTGTGTATTCAGTGATAACGCGGTCCGAGGAGGTGAGGAGAGCTCAGCCAGAGCCGGCTCCAGGTGGAGCTTGTCCATCTCTTGTCCTGCTGATGAAGGGTAAAAGATTGGGCAACTTCCTCAAGGTCACCGAGCGAGCAGAGAGAGTAAATCAAAACAACGTTTAGTTCTGGGGTCTCTTCGGCGTGTGTTAATGCATTGGGTTTTAGCAAAGCCGCTAATTTCGGGTGCAAGTTGGCACAGCTCGGCAAGTGATTTTGGAAAAGTAACTTTTAGAAGAGTCGCACCGTTGAAATTTCTGTGCCAAAGCTTGGTATGCTGAAGTCAATCCAGTCCACGCCTTCTCGCAGGTGACTTTATGTTCATTGCTTACCTGGACCTCGAATCTCAGCCTCAACTTCCTGGGTGGGTGGGTGCCTGTGAATTTAAGGCAGCAATGTCACACTGAGCCTTCGTCCTAAGTGGCCCTGTTTGTCCTGTATTAAGCGACATTAATGTCTCCAGCGCTTTAGAAAGATCCAAAGCAAAGAGCTTGGATTATTTGCATCATCTAGGGCAATATTAGGTGGGGAAAGAGGTGGATGTTGTGTGCGACATAGATCAATGAACTGGGAAAATGGCAAGTTGTGGTTTTTACCTACAGGTGTAGATGTAAAGCCAAAAGACAGGTGGGCTAAGATAAATGTTGACGTCAAAGTTGGACTCCATGTGCCTTTTTGTCTTTCTTCCTTTCATTCTTAAACTGTTAAAATTTATTCTGTTCATAGGACAGTCAGCCTAGAGCAAATCTATCACAGTAGCCTAGCCTGAAATTGGAAATAAGTTGGAACTATGTTCCTGGATGTTGATGGAAAAACAAAGCAACACATTATTCTGGGATGCTGGTCAAAATATTTGTCTTGGAGTTGCCAGTCCTGAAAATATGGGCTTTTGCTCCTGTGCCAGTCCAGGGCTGGTCCACACTGAGTAGCTGCAGTGCCATGGTTTCTGGCACCATGAGCACCCATGGAGTGAATTCAAACCTCCTGCCAGCAAGATTTGCTTTTTACTCTTATCTGCCATAGACCTCTTAGAAGTAGTTTGCAGCTCCTCAAGATCTGTATGTCATGGGTTAAAAATCACTGACCTGGACAGGTATCTAAAGAAGTCTGGATTGTTAACATAGCTGGGTTTTATTTTCCTGCAGTGTGGGTACTTAGTGCCACCTTATTCACGTCATATTAATGTGCAGCTCAAATATGGTGAACAAGTGTTCTTGAGAAGTTTATTTCCTTGCCAGTGACTTTCAGTGATGCAGAGAGACACTTGAATTTAGTCAGAAGGTAATAATCAAATATGAAGAAGAGTAGCAAACATGCTTCTGCCAGAAAGCTATTTGCTTATGCCTTGGAAGAATGGCAAGGGCAGAGCCTGGGATGTTGTGTAGGGGGAAGTAAGAATCCAAAGCCAAGCTGGCTGTTGCTGCATCCTCCAGCTCCTGCTGTGATCTGGTCGTGGGTGCTGTGGTTTTCAGTTGTTACCTGAACAATGGATCCATCTCCTACCATGCCAGAGCCCCTGGTTCTTCTGGGCTCTTGGTCCTTTCTGTTTCACAAGTGGCTGGTTTTGTAGGGTCGTCTGCCACTCACCATCCCCTCAGTGAAATGAGAAAAAAGAAAAGAGCATTTCAGCCTCCTTCCTCGCCCCACTGTTCCTAACAAAGCACATGATGTACTTTTTACAAGGCTGAGTTTGAAATCAATGTGTGTTTTCAGACAGATTATAATCATCATCATCACAGACAATTATTTGTATTATGAGTATGATATCCTATAACTTTTTAAAATGTGACTGCTACACTCAGAGATTTTTAATGCCTCCCATTTTTTTTGCATGTGGAAGTAGAATTAATCTTGGTTTCCTGGCCTGGGGAATACTGCTGTGGACTTCACTGAGCCACTGCTGATAGTGCTTATCAAGAGGGACTGTTTTTTAACACCTCTTGATAAGTAGTTGTACAGTATAATGGCATTTTAGGAGCTAATCTAGAATAGCTTCAAAACTATTTCTTAGGAACTGTGAGAAGGACAAGGTTGTATTTTTGGCAACCTTTCATGTAAATATTTGCATAGTCTCATGAAGTTCTCTGAAATACTTGTGATGTTACTGAACAAGCACGCTGAATAGAGCTCACTTCTGTTGAGGTTTGTTGAAAGGCCAGGATACTGTAGGACCCTGATTTTTATGACTTTGAGACATTCAGTCAATTTGTCTCTGATCCTTGCCAGAGGATAAATGGAGTAAATTAAAATCACTTTTTAAAATCATCACAATAAAAATACTCAGTGCTGCTTCTGAAGAAATGTCAAGGGAATACTATTAATGAAATGAGATGAAAAATCTTATTTAGCTTCTTTCCTTTTTCATTCATTCATAACTGGATTTTTTTTTTTAACCTTTCAATACTTCATTTGCAAGTCATGATAATTTTTAGTACTGGTTGTTAAACAGGAATCTTGACCATGTTTGTTTCCTCTTGGGTGACAAGGCAGGAACTGTCCTGTGAAATTGCTCTGTGAAAAGATCATGAAAATGAATCTGGAATCACCTCTTCACTTGTGTTTTTATTTTATTTTATTTTATTTTATTTTATTTTATTTTATTTTATTTTATTTTATTTTATTTTATTTTATTTTATTTTATTTTATTGCCTCACTAACCTTTCCTCCACACCATGATATCATGGTTACGTTGTGTTCATGGTTATATTGCTGAAACTTCTAGGAGGTCATAAGATGGTTGGAAATGAAAAAAAAGATGAAACTATATTTAGTTTCTAGCGTCATCAACGCCATAATGTGTTGGCTTGCCCTTTAAGGTTGAGTTTTGCACTGAAATTACTCCTTTGAGTAATTCTCAATGAGTTCTGTTGGTTTGCTCGTTTGCTGGACAGAGGGAACTTTTTGGATGTGATGCAGTGTGCTAGGTTCATGTAGAATGTTTGGGTGCTTTTATGCTTCCTCCTTTTAGAAGATGAGCTTGGCTTCATTCATTTGTTTTTTGACTGTTCTGTCCTCTTACATCTTTCTTGCTTGCTTTTATGTAGGTCTAACTGTGAAAAGCTAGTTTGCTTTATTTGTTCTGGGGTTTCTTTTCCAATTGTTGATAACTATCACACAGCTTAGCAAACAGCTGATGTTTCTGTTTCAGGAAGTAGCACAAAACAGTTATTGGAGCAATATGTAAATGCAGGAAGCAAGCTGTTGCCAATATAACTCTGGCTGCTTTGGCCAGTTGAATTCTCAGTGTTGAATTAGGATATCTGGAGGTAGTTATTCCATCCTATTGACTTGGGCATGGAAACAGCCTATAGGGATCTCTGTGTAAAAGCTCTTGGAAGCCAATTAACAGTTATGACATGGTGTGTGCTGAGGAAGTCCTGTTATTTCCAGCATGGAAATAAATGGAAATGTTATTTCTTTCAGGGTAAAAAGCAGCAGGTCTGGTGTCATTACAAAATCCTGTTTAGACCCTTAGGATTTCTTTGCTTTTCATTCTGTCCCTTGCCTTTTTGGGATGTTGGCTCCTGGCCAGCAAAGGACACAGCAGGTGTGAAGGAGCCATGAGCTGATGCTGCTGTAATGAGGCAAAAGCAGGGTCTAATTTTTGCCCAAAATTCACCAAAATTCAGTGAGGGGTTTAGACCATGTACATCTGGGCAGCACAAACTCTGAGCTTGGTGTTTCCTGTCCAGGGCACAGGGGGATTGTCTCTGTGGTAGGGAGGAGGACAAGCCTTTGGAGGGCTGAGAGTCTGGAAAGACCATTTTTGATTAAATAGGATGTTGTCAAGTGAAGTACAGACCAACTCTGCTGTAATTTTTCCTTAAAGACCTGATTTGCAGAAATCTGTAGAAAAGTGAATAAAAACCCCCAAAAAACTATTGGATTGAATTTGTTTTGAGGTAATCTAATATTTTTGATTTTTGTATTTTTGTTTGGCTGTGTTCCTTTTTTATTTTCATTTTTGACAAATTTACTGGAAATAGTGATGCCTTTCTTTAATCTTAATGACCCATGACATAACATTAACACTTCTAAGGCATATGTAAGAAGCTCAGATAATTCAAGTAGCAGCTGCCAGCTACAAAAACGCATTTTACTTCATTCATCAGTGAACTGTGTCGGTGGTGGCTTTTTGCTCTTTGTCTTTCCTGTCATTAGAAACAGTGGCTTTATTCCTGTACTTTATGAAAGAAAAGCACACTCAGTTTTGGACTTTCTATGTTGCTGGAGGTCTAAATGCTGGTTCTGCTCCATCCATACTGGAGTTTTTGAAGTTTAGGGGCTTGACTGCATAGGACTGATGGGTCCCTTTCATTATTTGGGTGCTCTTTTTCCGGAGCTGGAAAGTGTTAGCAAGCCAACCCTTAAGCCTCCTTAAGCCTCTGGTACCCTCCTTGAAGCCTGCTCTGGTTCTCCATCCCAGTTCCCTTGCCTGGGATCTCCAGCTCCCTTTAAAGGATTCCCAGAGTTTGTTTTTTCAGATGCACCCAGTAAAGTGCTGTAGTAGCTCAGCAGGCATCAGGAGGAATGAGGGCAGTGAGAGGGGAAGGACAATTGTACATTCCCACTGAACTCTCCTGCATCATCAGAGTGGGTTTATGACACTTTAAAATGGTCTATTTAAATTTGTCTGATGTGTGAGGTGAGTTAGAGGCCAAAGTATTGGACTGAGATAAGGCAGACCAGTCCCTTCTAGCCCTCCAGTTGTTGGGATGGGGAGTGTTTGACAGGTCAGTTTGGTTCTCCATGACCCAACTTCCTTATCTGAGAAGTTGTTGCAGTTCCCTTGATGTGTTTGTAAAACAATTTGAAGTGTGTGAGTAATGTGTGCTTAGGAAAAGCAGATTATATCATTATTGAATGCTGCAGATTGATTTTTGCCTTAAACATTTGAAAAACTAATGGGAGTTCAGTGATTGTGGTTTCATGCAGTTTTAAAACATTGGAAAATGTATGTATGTAATGCCATGGAAGTCTGTATTTACCTATGGGTTCCTGTATTTATAACAGGGAAACTGTTATTAATCAGAAGCTGGATAGGAAATAGATTAGCAAGAACTAAATTGGGAGTGATGGTGGAAAACCAGCTAAACAAGGAGGAGATTTTTTCCTCAGTTCATTTGAAAAACACTCCCAGAAACTCCCAGAAAAGAGGGAGGAACACTCTTCCCCGTTAATTTGCAAAGCCTTTCAAATGGTAATGTAAAAAAAAGTACTTGGGATTTTTTTGGTCATTATCCCTGTTGGCTTACCTCATCACCACTTCTCTCTGATATCACTAAACTTCCTAACCCTTTTATTACTTCTCCTTTTCAGAGAACAAGGAGCAGAAATATCCTCCTGTGATTTATTTGTTTCTACGTCTGGGCAGAGCTGCACTTCCCAACTGCTGTGAAGAGCTGGGCAAGGATGGATGGCACATAAAGCAAAGCAGAAGTCCTGGAGCCTTAGTCACCAGTCTGATGGACTTTCAGTAAGTAGGAGCAAGACTCGTTTCTCACCTGTCTGCCACACGAATAAGTTCAGTGGTTCATTATTTACACCTGTTTGCCAGCACTGATAAGCAAATACCAGCCTTGCTGAAGTGTCACAAAGAATTGGTGTGCTTGAGGGGCTGAGCAGCTGTTGAAATCTGCTTCAGTGACATTTGTAGTTCAGTTTTGGGTGAGATGATGCCTTGATAGAGGCTCTACAAAATAACCTATTACTTTGGGCTGAATTATTTTGTGTCTTTACAGAGCTGCAATGTGCAGGGTTTTGCTCTGCAAAGGTATTTCTCAGTGCAGGCACTTTCTAGGTTTATTTTTTTGTTGTAGAGCAACATGAGAGGACTCAGTAGATAGCATTTATTAGAATGGTTGCTTGTGGAGGTGTATATAACTGTGCATTTTAGATCTGCACCGGCAAACATTTCTGTATTTCTTCTGTGTGTGGCAATCAGTGGTTTTGCTCAATGTTAACGTTTAACTCTAAAATAAACTTCTAGATGCTTGAAACATTCAGTGCCGAACCTCTCTTTTACCCTGCTTGCAAAACTTTCATATTGTTGTGGCACAGTTCCCCTGCTGTGCTTCTCTCCCTGTTTTTGGTTCCATGACTACAACAAACAGCCAAGAAAACAACTGCTTAGAACATGTAAGAGTGAAAAAAAATGTGGCTGCAAGTTGCGCTGTTATCATGAATTGGTTGAATTTGCATTTCCTGATGCTTTGCGAGTTTCTGTGCCATAAACCTCAGAGTGACACATGAGTAAGTGCTGAGAGAGGCAGCAGGACCTGAACGTGGTACTGACACCGTGTGAGTCCCTGCCAGGATATTCTGACTCTTGTTCTGCCAGCGAGAGTGAGCACTGACTTGACCTTCTCAGTTTGTGCTGCCCTCGTGCTAATGAATAGTTGCCACTGTATAATCCTCAGGCTTGTATTGAGAGGCTGCTGAGATCTGATTTCATGCTGCACCTTAATTTGTACCCTCTCTTCAAATACTTCCGCTTGCTGGTTTTTGGTTTTTTTTTTAATTTGTTTTATTTCAACCTCTGCAAATCTCGCCTTTTTCCAAAGGTAAAACTGACAAGAAAGCTGGACAAAGCCTCCAAGTTGTGATTGTTTTCCTTTTTTGTTTTTATAGGTTCACACTTTGCTCCCCAACACTTGAATTGTTTCTGTACTGTTGACAAAGGAAACATGACCTCTACTCTAGTAAGTAAACAAAATATTCACAATTTTCCTGGTTTTTTTCTTCTTTTAATATGGTTTTATTTCTTTAAATGTAACAGCCTATTGAGTGATGTCCTGATTAACAAGTCTTTTAAAACATAGGCTATTTGTTGTGTTTCCTTTTTGGCAAAAAGATGCTGTGAGGCAGATGTAAGAGGCTCGAATTAACCACCATTTCAAGTGCTCAGGTACTTTTAGGGGAGATTTAATCTTCTGAGCACATGCTTTTGATTTATTTTAGCTTGTTTTGGTGGGATAGGTTAGAATGGTTTCTAACTAGTTCTTAAAGCTCTTCCAGGATAAATATTCCATGACCTGTTCAGTCCAGTGTGTGTGTCAGGAATAGCTTAGGTGTACCTGGTGTTGTCACAGCACGAAATGGGACAGTAAGCATTTATCGTGGACCTGGACAAAGGCTGCTACTTGTCAGCATTTCTTTCTGTGATGGTGCTGCCCACAGCTGTCCTTGCTGTTTATTTCTACCCTGTCAGACATCCCTGGGCAGGCGTTTGTGCCAAACAGATTGGGAGGGCTGGGCTCAAGAGTCCTTCTTAGGCTGGGCTGTGGATCAGGAAACTGATCTTGCCAGAGCTTTTCCAGCCTCACTCTGTGCTGTTTTTATGACTCAGACCGTGAGGTTTTAGGCACTTTCTGTCTGTGTCACCTGGAGTCGCTAGTCAGTGTTTCTGTGCGCGGGGTGTGTTTTATGGAGCAGGACAGGAATTCTGTCCTTTGTTTCTCACCTCCTCCTGTTCCCCTCCTCCCCACACCATCCCCAGGGTCCACCACCTCCATACTACGAGAACAGAGGCTTCCAGCCAGAGCCCCTGTACGCTGCCAGGCAGGCAGCAGGTGCTGCTCCCTACCCACAGCTCTTCTCCACCAACCCTCCCTCCGTGCCAAGCTACGTGCCCAGGGTTGCCACCCACCAGTCCAGCCGGCCAGCAGCGCACCCGCCCAGCAGGACGTGTGCAGCCAGTGAGTTTGGGGCCGTTTCTCCCAGTTTTGGGGCCATTTCTCCCAGTTTTGGGGCCGTTTTCTCCCAGTTTTGGATCTGAGATCTGTCAAAGTAAGGTAACAAAAGAAAGGGACGTTCCCTTGAAAGTCATTCACTGAAGGAGCCACTTCCTTGTGGATGAAGAAGTGGGTGCTGGTGCAGCTGGGTGCTTTGGGAGGAAGGATGGTGGGATGGAGAAAAGCCTGGCTAAAAATGGCTGATTTTAATGTCAAATAAATGGTGCTGGTGGGTGGAAATCACTTTGATTGTAAACCTAATTTCTCTTTTCCTCCTTGCTTTCATTTCAGGTCTGAGGAAAACCATAATAATAATATTATCTATATTAATAGTCATTTGTTGTGCAATTGCTGCTTTCTTCATCTGGTATTTTGGTAAGTTTTTGTTTGTTTGTTTATTTTTTTAAGAAAAGATTATTAAGCTTTTCAAGTTAGAAATATCCATTCTCGTTTTATGCTTTATGCTGAATTAAGGACAGAAAAGTCTTTGTTCCTTTTCTCCTAAGAGATGAACTAATGCTGATTCTTAATGGCTCAGTTTTGTTTGTGGGTTGAGGTGGTTTTTTTTTTGTTTGGTTGGTTGGTTTTTTGGGTTTTTTTTTGGTGTTTTTTTTTTATTTTTGGGGGGGTGTGTGGTTTTTTTGTTTTTTTTTTTTTTTTGTTTGGTTTTTTTTTGTTTTGTTTTGTTTTGTTTTTTATTCTTTTGTTTTTCCTTTGTTTTGATTTTTTTTGTTCTTTATTTTTAATGCTGCCATTACTTTCCAAATATGAGCTTCACTTACTTTCAGGTGAAGGGAGGGGATTGCAGTTAAGTATGTAAACCTTAACTGCAAGAGTGTAAACAGTCAAGACATGTTTTGTTTTGCTAAAACGGGATCTCCCTTGGAGCAGAAGTAATTTGCATTCACTTATTTGTTTCTGTGGGGTTTCTGTGTAAATGTTGCATGAGCCCAGCCTGTCCCAGCACTCTGTTGTGCCATGGATGTTGCCTTAGAAATCATCTCCAGCTGGGGTGACTGAGCTCTGAAGCAGGGCTGGACCAAATTCTGTTCAGCTTGGGTGAAGTTTGCCTTGTGCTGTCTTTATTTCCCTTTCAATGAAAGCTGCTTTGCTAAAAAAGCAGAAAACTGTTTTTAGGACCTTCTGCTTTCTATAGTGCTCAGGAAGAGATATCTAGTGGAAAATGTCCCTGCTCATTGCATTGGGGTTGGACTAAAATTATTTTTAAAGATCCCTTCCAAACTAGTCAATGATTTTAAGGGAGTTCATTTAGAACTATTAGGATTACACTTTGTGTTCTTGGGGTGTTTTTTTGACTCATTTTGATTTAAGCAGGGTGAGTGTAATCTTGTTTTAAATGAGAGCAAGAGTACATAATTGAGGCTCTCACTCTCTTCCTCCTTTTCTACATGCTAACACTTTGCCAGTGCAAAGCTGATTCCTTTCTGACAACTTAATGGTGCCTGATTATTCAGGGGAGGCCAGTGGCCAAAATCCAATGAGCTGCATCACAGACTTGCTCTGACAAGTGATGCAAAGGACAGAGCAATCCATCTCCTGCTGTGGCAGGCTGGGTTCCCTCCCACCTCTGGCTCAGGAGCCGCTTCCAGTGCTTTTCTCCATCAAAGTGGGAAACTCCTTGAGAGCTGGGCTGACGTGCAGCCTCGTGGCTGTGCTTCTCTCTCCCTGCAGTAGAGAATCACTGTCTCAGCTCCCTGATGGAGTGTGGATCCTCAGGGGTGTGCATGTCCCCCTCCCAGTGGTGTGATGGAGTGAGCGACTGCCCCAACGGCGAGGACGAGACGCGCTGTGGTGAGTGACAGCAGCCAAGGGCTGGGGGAGAGACCTGCACCAACTGCAGGAGCCTGGCAGCAGATTGCCTGGTCCAGAGCTTGCCTAAGTTGCAACAAGGCTGTTTTAGCCTAAGCTCTGTCTTTAAAATGGTTTGGGATGTGTGTTATATATAGGTGCTCACTTCATTTCCAGCCCGATTGTAAAGTTGACATAAAACTCTTGGCTCAGGGGTTTGAGCTGCTTTGAGTTTGAGTCAGGTTTTTTAAACATCATCTTTTAATCTGACTGGGGTTTGTGCAGAACTGAATCTAGCATTGTCTCTGGATGGAACAGTCAGTAGTGACTTCTCAGTGTCACTTCTCACCTCTTCAGGTGATAACATAAACCTGGTGTTCCTCAGTCAGGCTTGTCCTTTCCCATGTATTTTGCATTCCTCATTCTCCCCTTAGTTCTCCAACTACATCATAACTCATTTGTGTAAGAAAGCCTGGCCTAATCACTGCTCTGAGCTGAAAAGATGCCAAGGGAAGCTTTAGTGCAGAGCTGAAGGTAGGAGGTAGAGACCTTGATTTGTCCAGTCCAGAGGTTTGGCATCTTGTGTCGTGCCAGTGCCACGCTGGAAAACTCCAGCTGTGCTTTCAGTTCCCTCTGTAAACTTTTATTCAACACGTTCTCCTGCAGGGTTAGCATTTGCTGGCAGCTGTTCCACTCCATTTGGTTGAATAATTGGTTCTTGAAGAAGCCAATTGCAATCCGTTCTTTTGCCTGAACTATTTTTTATTAAATTCTTGTGCAAGCAAATGCATAATGGGATGTGGAATGTCAGAGCTAATTGCTCCTGGTTACATTTTTGCTCTACAAAGCACTTCTCTGAAGAAATCTGGTGTATTAAGAGATAATATATTTTTCAATGTATCATACTTTATTTATACACAGTATGTGATATATTAAGAAATATATGGTTGCATAGAGAAAAGATCAGAAAATTTTCATTATTGCAATCTTTCTCAGTGGTAGAATATAAAAGAGAATTTTGAGCATAAAAGCTGAAGTGAAAGGATGAACTCTATCTTGTACATTTGCATTTTAAGACTGGTAGTTCTTCTAAATTGCTTTACATGAAAAGAAGTAAGTCATTGTCACATTTCTGTTTACTGGATATTTGCTCAGAATTTGAGTAGGAGGGAGCATTAAATTAACATCAGTTATACATGAAGTGGATATTATAGGTAACTACTTCCAAGCAGAGAAAGCACTAATAATAGCATGAGGTGTTCTTAGTTCCTTTTTTTTTTTTTTCTTTTTTTTTCTTTTTCCCTTTCTTCCTTTTCTGGCAGTTAGACTTTTTGGACCAAATTTTATCCTGCAAGTTTATTCACCTGTCAGCAAATCCTGGTATCCTGTTTGCCAAGATGACTGGAATGATGATTATGGGAAGACTGCATGCAAGGACATGGGCTACAACGTGTAAGTCCAACCTCTGTCAGCCTCTGCTCAGACACAGAAAGGTTCAAATTTCCCCCTTGCCATTTTTAATGAGTCTGAGACGTTGCTGTGAAAACATACTGGCAAAGGCATCTCTTCACCTTGCCCTGTTACACGAGGTGCATGCACATCAGATAAAAATATTATTTTAACCTAGTCACTGGTGGGAAGTGGGGTTGACAGATGTGTAAAAAATCTGAGACTCTGGCTGGGCTGCACCACCAGGGTTCTGCGTTCATGTAAAAACAAAAATAAATATTTCTATTCTCATGTAAGAAGCTCCAGCTTGGCACAGTTCATTGTTACCACTTGTTTGAAAGCTGAAATCACTACTGGGTTTCATAGTGGGCTTTCTGTTTTGCAGAGAAACATATTTCTACAGTCGTGGGGTAGCACCTGACGCCAGCTTTAAGAGCTACATGAAGCTGAACACAAGTGCTGGGAACATAGACTTGTACAAAAAGCTGTACAACAGGTATCTTTGTTTAATAAAAGCCTCTCTCCTTTCACCCAGGGTCTCTCCAGATGCTGTGAGAAGTGTAGCTTCTGCCTGCAGCATAATGCAAGCACATCTTTTAGTGGGGATTGTTGGAGAGAAAGAGACTTTGTTTTTATTGCAGCAACCGTTCTTCCCTCTTTTTATAAACACAGCTGTCATTTTTCCATCCTCCCTGTCCTCTTCTAAAAGAAAAAGTGTCCCATCCTCTGTACTGTTTAGAAGTTTGCCATGTCAAAGGTATTTTTAAGGCTTCTGACCATCAGCAGGAGTTTGTGTATGGTGACAAGAGCTACCAGCTACAACACATTCACAGCAGCTGGCACAGCCTTTTTTCAGTCACATGAACACACAGCTTGCAAAAATGGATCTCCACTGTGGAAAGCATCATTTTTATTATCTTTAAACAACCCTGAAGTGTCCAGTTTCAAAACCTGTAGACTGCTGTGCCTGCAAACTTCCTGCAGCTCCCTTGTGTAGTTCTTCTGCAATGACTCCCTAAATCAGCTCGACTTTCTCTCAAGCTGTTCTTCATCTTGCTTCTCAGTAGGCTTACAAACCTTTTGTGCTCATGTCTGCAGTCTCCCACAGGACAGTTTTGGTGAATGCAAGGCATGGGGAGACCAGGTGGAGAAAGTGAAGAAAGGGGGAACCCTCCACAGGAAGATGAGGCTGAAGGCAGGGCATGTTACTGGAAAGGGTAGAAAGCAGCTGGAAGGTGGACTTTGCTCACCATTTCCTTTACTGAGAGCCTAAGATCCTGTCTGGTTTTTTTTTATTTCTCCTGCAGTGGTTCCTGTGCCTCAGGAAATGTGGTTTCTCTGCGCTGCATAGGTAACTCACTGGCTTTTTCAAACTTCTGCTGCTTCATGCTTTGATATGCTCTGACTGGCAAGCCCTTTTGGACCTGTGGCATTAATTGCTGTTTTTGCACGGGCAAATGATTTAACTCTGGTTCCCAAATAATGCAGTTTTAAGGTGGGAGAGGAGACAAGGAAGGCAGTGGATCCCCAGTCTTTGCTGCCACTGGTTGCTCTAAATGACTTGTGGTGAAGCTCCATATCCATCCCCCTGCAGCTGTGTTGGGATGTCTGTGGCACATTTACTCTCAAGATTCAGCAGTTGGATAGTGGGCATTGCCTTCCTGATGGTGATTCCTGCCCTGAGGAGTCCCCTGGCTGTTGGCTGCTTTGTTGCACAGCACAGACATGTTTGAATCACCAGAGATTCCTGAAAGGTGTAAAGAGTTTATGGTGAGCCAAGGGTGGGTTTTGCAGTTTAATGGGGGTCTGGGCAATGGCAGAGTTGGGATTTGGTGTCAGGGCAGGGCTTTGAGCTGTGTCCAACAGATCAGCCCTGGGGTGTGCACCCCTCTGCCAGGGAAGCCTGAGGGGTGCAGAATCCATCTCCCAGCTCCCTCTTGGATTAACCCGTGTGTGTGCCTGACCTTTCAGAGTGTGGCCTGTCCAGCAAGAGCGTGAGCATCATGAACAGGATCGTGGGTGGCAGCGGGGCCGTGCTGGGGCAGTGGCCGTGGCAGGTCAGCCTGCATGTGCAGGGCACCCACGTCTGCGGGGGCTCCATCATCACCCACAGCTGGATTGTGACAGCAGCACACTGTGTGGAAGGGTGGGTCCCTCTCCCCATGGCTGTTTGCCTTTCTTCAAGCTGAAATTTATTCAGTTCTCCCCACTTTCTCCTTTAGAACTGAATTCCTGCCTGGCACGCAGGTGCTCTGTACAGTATTTTGTCTGTATGGTAAATTCGAAGTATAGGGAAGATACTTCATTGGGAATAAGGGAAGATTGGTTCTGGAGGAGGCTGGCTGCAGCTCACCTGTCTGCTTCCTACAGGAGGCCTTATTTTATGTTTTGTCTTACAAAATGAAATGGGTGATGCTGAGCACAGACACCCACCCAATTTAAAATGCAAACTCAAGGCACCAAATTTAATGCCAGCCAGCACAATGTTTTCATGAAGATGTTGAATTACACTGTGAGGAAACTTCCCTCCCCCCCCCCGCTCAAATTCTCAAATATCACACTGCTGTAGATATGATCAATTTAAAGATGCTTGTGCCATTTATTTCTTCATATCTTCTTGCCACAGGGTAGTAAAGTCCAAGTCAGTATTAAATACAGATTTATATCTATCCAAGGAGCACTTTATGTAGCCATCAACAAGAAAAATAGCTGGTGCTTTGTACATTTTTAACCTATAAAAGAGAGTTGAGGGTTTTGTGGTACCCTCAGAAAGGGCAGAATTTGTTTGAAAGGTGCCTGCTTCTGCTGGAGGGAAAACCCACAAAGCAAAAACATTTTTAATGGTTGGTTGGCTGGATCACAGTTTGAGGCTAAGGGAAGGAAGAATATTTGTCCTTAACCTTGAGAAAGGAATGCAAGTGTTGATTTCTACCTGGAGATCTTATCCCTCCTTTGTTGTCTGGATTTGAGCTCTGTAGTGCAGAAAGCTTTGGGAATGGCAATCAAGCTGCAGCTGGCACAAACCTGGTTTTCAGCCTGGTTTTCAGCCTGATCTGGGTTTTTTTTGGGAGGTGGAGTGACTTGCAGGCACTACTGCCTTGGCACTGCTCATGGAGGGAGTTTTAACACTTGTGGCAAGTTTTCTATTAAGCTTTTGCAAACTGTGCTGGAGCAAAAGAGGCTACTTAAATAACATCTAGCAAGCATGCTTAACATTAAAAAAAAAAAAAACACCAAAACCAGTCTAGAAAAAAACCCTGGCATTTTCAAGATAGTGAAATTCTTTCACTAGATCATGTTTTTACTAATTCTGGCTTCTGCTGATACCACTGACATGTGAGACTTCAGAAATACCTGCCTGATCCCTCAGTCATGGAAATCAAAAGGCTTCAGTGTTGCAGTCTCAGACTTAATTTGTTGTGCTGAGTGATTAAGGGGATGGACAGTGATACTTAACCCACTGCAAAGATTTTTTTGATATATTTTTGAAATTAGAGCCAAGCTTTCCTCAAGTTACACGTCTGGCAATTTGTTTGTCTTACTCTTCAGAAATGGTAGTCAAATGCATGTGCATTTTTCGTCACCCAAACATTTGACTACAGCTCCTGAAGAAAGTTTTTTGAAGGTCCCAACCCCTGTTTTGTCACCACAGAAGAAAACCTTCAGACCTTTTCTTTGTTCTCTAGGCGACTTTCTGACCCACACAGCTGGAGGGTTTATGCTGGGATTCTGAACCAGGATGAGATGTTCTTTAGGAGTGGATACAGAGTGCAGCAGATAATTTCCCATCCAGATTATGACACAGACTCTAAAGACAATGATGTTGCCCTTATGAAGCTGGAGACACCACTGAGTTTTACTGGTAGGTATTCTGCTCTTCTTAAGGGAAAAATCCAGTGGCAGTGAGCACACCTTTTGAAACTTCTGATTTTCATCAACCAATCCTTGTAAATACTTACTGGAAGAACACAAAATTACCCTAGAGACAGAGGGCACAGGCTCCGATTTCCTAAGCAGGATTTATTTAAATCTATTACCTGGATAGGGGTTTTGGGCTCATCTCAATAAAACACTTTTACTTCAGAATGCTCTATGGTGCTTCAGTTTAGCCACTGCTGTATGTGCAGACAAATACAGGTGTAGTGATGGAGCAGCTGATTAAATCCCAATTCAAGTCAGGTCAAATGATAGTAAAAAACCCCTTCAGAACTCAACATTACAAGAAGTTCCTTTCATGAAAGCAGATGTAGGTTGTTTGTAAGCAATACAAAACAGAGAACAAGCCATTATTTAAACTTGAAGTGCTTTTTGTCTACAGGCCCTTTGTGTTTCAGTGCATCAGTTTAAAGCTACCAGGAGTAATCTGAAAGGGATTTTCTGCTGCTGAGAGCAGGGAGATTGTCTGTTTTCCAGCTTTTTGTGCTACACACTTCTTGTATATATCAGTACTGAATCCTGCTTGTCTTATTATTTTCAGCAGAGTTTTGCAAAGAGAATATAGAACTGTAGTTTTCAGAATTTTTTCTTCATCTTATACTGCTCAGAAGAGCTGGTGTTAATTGTTCTATTGAACCTGATGAATCAAGGTAGAACCATTAACTGCTTGTTCCTCACTTTGAGGTGAAGATTAGGCAGATTTGAGGTGAAGATCAGGTACCCCTCAGGGAAAGGGTAGCTGGTAAATTTTCTGCTGCTTCCTGCATAGTCTGCCTGCAAGGAATGCAAAGTACAGAGGAAATGCATTGTGTTTAATAGATGGTGGCAGTTTAAATTTATTTTGAGCTCTGTTTGAACATCTATTATTCTGTTTGTTTTGCAGAAACTGTGAAGCCAGTTTGTCTGCCCAATCCAGGAATGATGTTCCAGCCTAACCAGCAGTGCTGGATATCAGGGTGGGGAGCAGAGCACCAAGGAGGTAAAAAGTGCTTCTGGAATATTTTGATCTTTTCCATAAACTAGTCCTCTTTATCCTGTGAATACTGTTGTTTGGGCCGATGGGACAGTTTGAATTAGATCTGTTCATTCACTATTTTTTCACCCATTTTGCAACCCCCAATATTTGCCCAGGGCATTCAAAGCAAGCTGTGATGTGTTGCATTCAACAGACTGCAAAGGACCCTCAGACCAGTACTGAGGGGCAGAAATACCCATCCAAGAGATAATTCTGTGCCCCTGATGGCAGGGCCACCTCTCCTGCAGCAAGGGTTGCTGTGTGCCAAGTGTGTCCTGTGGATGTGGGAAAGGGCAGGAGCTGCTCCTTTCCACCACCTCAGGCTGAAGTAGAATGATGCAAGTAAATTTGCAAGACTGGAAAAAGGAAAGGGAGGAAAGGATTTTTTTTTTGTATAAGAAAGGTATTGGGGAGGTCCTCTTGAACTCTTGCAGATTTCTTGCATCTTAAATTTCCATCCTTCTCCTTCTAGGAACTTTATTTCATCTTGACTGCTGGGATTTTTTTATAATAGCAAAATGATGGGATGCTTATTCTGATTTTGTCTTTGCACATTTGTGCATATTTCAATTCTAGGTAAAACATCAAATAACTTGAATTACGTTGCGGTGCCCTTAATAGAACGTTCGAGGTGTAATGCTGTTTATATCTACAATGGCATGATTCTGCCTACAATGATCTGTGCTGGAGACCTAGCAGGGGGAGTTGATTCCTGTCAGGTAATTATTCCTAATTAATGGTTCATAATGATCTGATTTCTTCTGTGGCCTTGCTATAGTAGGCTCTTTTTCTTTCTTTCTCTCTCTCTCTTTTTCTTTCTTTCTCTCTCTCTCTTTTTCTTTCTTTCTCTCTCTCTCTTTTTCTTTCTTTCTCTCTATCACAAGTAAATCCTATGCCCCCCCAAAAGCTAAAAATTTGCATTACATCTGGTTGGGCTTCTGGTTCCTTTGGTGGTGCATCCCTTTAAAGAGGAGAGCTTTTGTTTCATCATCTGAATGGCTGCCAGTGCTGAGTTATCACTAAATTCCCAAGGAGGGTGAGGCTCCTTTTAAATGCTTCAAGGATGGTTTGTTACCTGGTACTTGAAAGTGATCAAATACTCCTCATAACTACAGCATTATTATCATTATTAAATTATTAACCACAGAATTGTGCTTGTGAACAAGAAAGTCAATAATGCCAATCTTACTTAGAGGGATCTGGGCAAATTATTTTCATCCCTATTGGAAGCAGACATCATGTAGCACCAAAATTGCCATCATACCTTGTTCTAGTGGCTCCCTAAGTGGCAGGCAGGTTTATATTGAAACTAAAGCTGTGCTCCTGGAGTGAAATGGGTCGTGTTTTTCCTGGTGGCTGTGTCACTAACCAGGTGTTTGTGTCCCATGCAGGGTGACAGTGGAGGTCCTCTGGTGACTCTGCACCACTCTGTGTGGTGGCTGGTTGGAGATACCAGCTGGGGCACTGGCTGTGCTACTCCCAACAAACCTGGAGTGTATGGGAATATGACTGTGTTTACAGACTGGATTTATAAAAATATGCAGGTAAAACATTCGGAGTTTTTTCATCAATTTTAAGGCCCTATATTCTGAAATGTGATTTTTACTTCAAAAAAAAATTAATAAATAAATGTGACTTGCATGATAACTAAGCTGTTTTGTTGAGAAGCATCCAAGTTATTGTTAAGACAGAACCTGAACCTTTGTTTTCTGTTTTGTTTTGTCTTTTAAACAGGCAAACAGATGACAACACCCTCCTTGCTAATCGATGTTCCTGAGGACAAGAATAAATGAAGCCATGGGGGCCTGGGATATTTATTCACTTTGCGGTTGATTTTATTTTTCCTCTTTGATTTTTCTTTTTAAAAGTAACATGAAGGATTGCACACTTGGTTCTGTGCTGGCTACAGTGATGGATCTTAATCAGTGAAGGTTCATCACAACAAGCACCTTTCTTCTCCTTGTGGTGCCTGGCAGAGTCATTCTGTCAACTGCTTGCTGAAATGTCTCTCTTTTGTTGAGTTACTTTTGCTTGATGATCAGGCTTATAATGACAATTTAAATCACAATTTAATTTCAGATTTTTGTAGCAAGATGCTAAGACGGTTTAGTAGTTTTTAAATTAAATGTTAAGTAATGTGAATGTTGAATCTCTGAGCTGCTGGTTGGCAATTTTAAAAGAAATTAATTTTTTTTAGTATAGAATTACAAAATGGTTTGGGTTGGAAAAGACCTTAAGGATCATCCAGTTCCAACCCCGCTGCCATGGGCAGGGACACCTTCCACTATCCCAGGTTGCTCAGAGCCTCATCCAGCCTGGCATTAAACACTTCCAGGGCTGGACCAGCCTCAACTTCCCTAGGCAACCTGTTCCAGTGCCTCACCACCCTTACAGGGAAGAATTTTCTTCCTAAAATCTGATGTAAATGTGCCCTTTTTCAGTCTGATGTCACTACTCCTTGCCCTGTCACTCCATGTCCTTGTCCAAAGTCCCTCTCCAGCTCTCTTGTAGGCTCATTAGGGACTGGCAAAGGTGCTGAGGTCTGCCCAGAGCCTTCTCCAGGCTGAACAACCCCAGCTCTCTCAGCCTGTCTCCATAGCAGGGGTGCTCCAGCCCCTGAACACCTTTGTGGCCTCCTCTGGACTCTCTCCAACAGGTCCATGTTGGAGATCCCAGAGCTGGATGCAGCATTCCAGGTGGGGTCTCAGGAGAGCAGAGGGTGAGGGATATATATGAAGGGAATTTTTCATGCACTACAGTACAGGCACAGAAAATTAAAAAAAAAAAAAGTACTGTCTATTCAGGTAGTTAAAAATCCTCAGGATCTCAATCTAAGTCAGATTGTAGCAGTCTGGCTGCCTCAGACCATACAAAATGTGCTGTTCTGCCTTAAGCTGCTCTGAACCCGAAATGGGCACTTTGCCAATGTGGGATCTGGACAGGGATGCCCTGGACAGGGATGTCCCAGTGCTGAGGTCCCTGGCTGAGCACACTGAAGGTGACTCTTGACCTCTCCCTGCTGTGAAAGGCAAAGGGCAAAGGTTTCCAGGCAGGCTGTGCTGCACCTCCAGCTGCAGACACACACACAGAGACTGGAGGTTTTGTACAAGGAAACTCAAAGCTGATAAACTACCTCATTTGTTAAATTTGGCTTCTGATTCCTTAGAGCTCTCCTTTATATATCTGCCTGTATGTTTTTAGCAAAATGTAATTCGTATCTGAGTGCCACCTGAATGAGGAATTTGAAAATAATTTATAATCGTGGTAGAGGATCAAAAAGCCATATCAAGTCACTTTGTTAAGAAGGATAAATCTTTATTGAATGAAATGACTCCACTAGTCTTGTTTTCTCTTTTGGTACTGAAATGCAATTATCTTACATGTAAACACTGCACCAAATAAATTGGTTTTTGTTTGTTCTCTTTTTTTTTTTTTTACAAATAGTTTTCCTTACTTGTGCTTTATATCTCTTTACTTGGCTTTGTGGTTTTTTGGAAGCAGTTGCTGGATTCAGTGTATGAAGTGCTTTGAGGGTCTGATTAAAAAAAACTAACAAAAACAAAAAAAAAAAAAGAAAAGCAACAGGGTGAGCCAAGAGATTATTTTAATTCCAATATTTCAGGTCCTTGAACAAACCCAGGAAATAAGAGCAGGATGTCCAGGAATGCTGAATGTCTTTGGTGGCTGGGTCTGATGAAATCACTCTGACTGAATTGAATTAAATAAGGAAGTTTGGCCTGCAGGCAGTAGCTTGAGGGAATCACACCCTATTTTGTCATTCCACCTCATGCTGCCTGGAGCAACGTGTCCTTGCCCCTCCTCTCTAGGTGTGAGATGGGTGTTTCCAATAGCACTTGTGCATCAAGTGCACCTTGGGGGATAGGGGAATACCATGAAATAACCAACGAGTTTAAAGTACTTTCAAAACAGAATTAAAAAATTAAGTGGTTACAGGTATGAGGCACTTTTTCTGTGGCTTCTGACCTGCAGCACTGCAAGTCAATAATAGCAAAAGAATGTACTGGAAGAAAGGGGAAAGTGGCTGCAGTGTTCAAGGTTAAGGAACGTGGATGTTGGGGTGAATGCTGTACCAAAAGTCAGGCACCAGCTGCAGTTCCATGCCACAGGGACAAACACTTTTTGTCATCTCTAGCCTGAGGAGAAGGCTTCTCTTGTAAGAAACTTGGAAGTTACTACATCACACACTGGTATAAGCACATTTTTTCTAGCTGGATGCAGACATTGCTTTTGGTTATTAAACCAAATCTTCCCTGTCAAAGATGTCTGTACACAGTGTGTGATATATTTTGCATTGGCTTCCACGAAATGAAAGAGCTTTTGTAAAGATTCTCCTTGCCCTGGAGAGGGAAAGGAGAAAGGCAGCAAAACACATGATGAGACACCCTTGTGATGTTTAACATCCTGGGAGGTTTCTTTTCTTTTGGATATCCAAATCCTGCCCTCTAGTGAGTTGCCCATCAGTCCCAAAATTTCAGGTGCTGGTGCAGACATCTGAGAGGAAGAGCCTCTTGGCCTTCTGCAAATCAGAGAGCTGGGAAAGGAGACTGAACAGAGCCCATGGCATCCTCTGGATGCACCAGTCACATAAAATAAATATATTTTCCTTCTAGGCTGGAACGGTTTCATCCCACTGTGCTCCCTCTCTCCCTCCTGGGCTGAGACTTAGTGGTGACACTTTGCAGAGGTGTCTTTTAGGTGATAGCAGGAAAGAGAACAATCCCAGTAAGCCAAAAACACAAGGGGAAGTAGGAGATCGTGAGTGTCATGCACTAAGCTTCATTGAGGAAAGCTAGATAATTTGATTTCTACAGTTTGTGAATTATGCAGCTCCCATCATTAAAAAGAGAAAAAAAACAAACCAACAAAGCATATAATTCCCAGAGTGTTAGCTTTTTAATGATTACTCCAGTGGTTGCACAGAATTCATAAAGGAAATGTTTAAAAATGGGATAATGTTTATTTAATCACAACTTCCCCAGTGGAGCTCTTTATGCAAAGGCAGCTGCTTGCATATAACTGATTATGGAAAATAAAGAAAAACTGAATGCTAAAAGTTAGTATTAAAGGTCTGGGCTAAAAACACATTTTTATGGGATTATATGAAATTCTTCAATAATGCTAGAAGATGAGGAGAAAAAAACAACTAATGAAAAACAAAGAAACTACAACAAGCTGAAGTCTCTCAGGTACTGGCAGGCTTTGGTGAGACGATCAACTCTTTGGCTGAGGTAATTCCTGGTTTTAGCAGCTTCAGTGTCCTCCTCAAGGAGAAAGTTTAACTTCTCTTTTTCTTGTAAAAGTTGCAGCATAGCGGTCTGCACATTATCTCCAAAGTCGTGAAGGACACAAGACAGGATGATCAGAGGTATCTGATTGGAGAGACGTTTACTTGCTCCCTGCAAGATGGGGGGGGGGGAAAAGGGTAAAATACTAAATTAGTAAAAAGAACTGAAAAATGAAGGGTATATAAGTAATCTGGTAAAACAAGTAGTTCCAAGGTTTTAAAATGTTCGACTGAGTTACTATTTGAGAAGGGAGTAGTGCTATGTACTAAAAAATATTTGCAAGCGATGTCTTTTGTGTCTGCAATCTAAAAACTAAGAGTCGTGGGGATGTCAGCTGTTGCTTTTCTTCCCTCAGCAAACTAAAGCCAAGGCAGGCTGTTCTCTGCTCAGCTCTGTCAGCTGTCACTGGGACAAGTTATAGGAGGACATTCCTGACAAACAGGACTTGTGCAGTTTCTGATGTCCAATCTGCCTTCACTGAATGCTAACAATATGTTTGATGCAGGAAATCAGAGTGATTTTCCCTAAAGCTGGAAAATTCCTCTATCACATGGTGGTATTTAGATGGTGTTTCTGATGTGGTTGTCCCTTTAAGTTTAAGACAGCTTTAGAGGAAGCTTTAGCCTTAGGAGGAAATGTCTTCAGCAGTAGTGAGACCAGATCGTGCCTACATTACATCTGTTGATATCCCAATTGAGACAATCTCCTGTCTGACCTGACCAACTGCCTGGCTCATTTATGGATGCAAACTGAAACAGACTGACCCAGAAGAGCTTGTGGGGCCCTTTCCCCATGGACATCCACAGGGTTTAGGGGCCCACCTGGTGCTTTTGGGCAACATGAGGTTCTAAACCTCTCTCAGCTCTGTGAAGTGGCTGCCTCCAGCCCTCCTGCTGCTGGATGAGCACTTAGACCTAAGTGCCTGGTTGCAATTGAGAGATTCTGTCTTTTTGTGGTACAACTTGAAAATGGCATTCCTAGGTTCTATAGGGTGTAGGCAGCCATGGACACTTAAGAGCTTCCATCTCGTTCAAACCATATTTGGCCTTGCACAAGTCAGTCCCATGGAGTTGCCCCCTGGCACTTGGGGGTTTGTTGAAAATGGCTCTCAGGGCATTTCCAAAAATATTTAACTGCAGGTAAGACATACAGCAGAGTGTGTAGCAAGGTGGGATGGAAATGCTCATGCACTTCTGGCTTTGTTTCTTGTCCTATGAAAGCCAATGGTTTTCTCTTCATCAGCCTGAGCAGCCTGACCGTTAAATTACAGGGATTTGTCACAAAGCCTGCTCTTGGAATTCAAAGTGAGCTGCTACTTACCTTCCTGAATTATTAATATTGAACTTGTTGCTTTCTGAGGGAGTTTTACGACAAAGCAAATCTTGATACTGCATGTTCTTTTTTCTGTTTTTCTTTAACATGATCCTTTCTTAAAACACCCCATTTGTCTTCAGAGACTTCACTTACAGGGTGCTATCTGCAATACAGCAGATGAACTCTGATCTCTACAGACAGCTGATAGATTTTAATGTAATGTTTTATAATTGCTCCTCCTGCTGTAGTAGTTTAGGATCTGACTGCAAGGCACTGACACCACTTTCTGTTGGCTGCAGGAACGTGCAGAATGGCTTGAGGCTGACCTGAGCCAGACTGGGAGGTAGCTAACAAGGGGTTTAGGAGTCAGCTGTCACTTTGGCACCTTCAGGCTTTTCTAATCACCACATCCTGCATCCTGCAACCTGCTGATACAGCCCAGCTTTGCCCTGACATTCTCATCACTGGTCAGAAGCTCCAAGTAGTTTGTAGAGAAGCTGAGCATGTACCTGAATGAGGCACTTAGATACCCCCGG